AAACGAAGCCTCTTTTACTTAAAAGGTAGGACGACATGTTTACCGTTTACCAAAATGAAACGGGAAACCTTTTTCTGACCCATCTCAACTCGTTGTTCCCAAAAGACATATCCTTTACGATGGAAGTTGAAGCAGACGGAGTCTTACCGTTTCTGGATGTACTGGTTTCTGAAAGAATGGAAATTGACATGACAGAAATCTACCACAAACTGACTCACACGAATCGCCTCTTACCGTACAACTCAAACCGCCCTTACAGCGCATTATATACGCCTTGGTCCACAGGTGCCTAGAAATTACACGTAAAGAACATGACACCCGAAAAGAACTGTGGTATATTTTAACAGCATAAAAATGAGCGGCTATCCAACTAAACTTATAAAAGTTTCCAGACTTGGTGTACGGTTGTTCTTCAGATCCGACGTCGAAACAAGATGAAAAACATGGCTGGATCTATACTGTATACCCTGCGAATGCGAGCTAGTTATGTTTTGGAAACCGGCAACAGACTCGACGATAGGAAGAAATATCACCATTCGTTCCTCACTAATAAATGCCGATCAAAGGGAACATGGACAAGAACAAATAGGACATAGAAGAAAACAAACTAAATACCCAACGCAAATAAAAAATGAACATGAATGAAACACCGCACTGATCGAACACGTGGAGAAAGAGCGTTGCAATGTTGACTGAAAAAAAACGAGAGATACAGCTGAAGACTAACGGAAGGGTAAGATAAAAGCTCTATTGATACAGGTATCCAAATGTCTTAGTAGAGACGACGGCGAAGACTTGCCAGTCTGAAGGAACACAGTGAAGGGGTTAGCAAGAAATACCAAGGCTGATTTACAAATAAATCTACTACCTTGAACCGTAGTCCTATTAACAATTTGTCGAACGTACTTATAACACCTTAAGATCACTTCACAGTACCCAATGACATTGAGTACTTTGTCCAAGCGTACTTGTCATCTAGTACTTTTTATTATGTCCTCTGATGATGGATCCAGTTGGATGTGCGGTGTAAGTTCTCGGAAGGCTACGAAAATCAAAAACTTTCTACTGCGTGAAGAATTCAATTATCTGTTATGATCGTTTGTTGCAATTATCATTTCTTACTAAATAATTTTGAATTAGCCTTTTACTGTTTCCGGTACACGTTGCACATACAGTGGTACCTCGAGTCACGAACTTGATTTGTTCTTTGACTCCGTTCGCGAGTCGAAACAGTTTTTCCCATTGAAATTAATGTAATTTCAATTAAT